AGAGACTAACGTTGGTGATCATAGCTGGACTTCTCATATGAAGTGGATTCCGGGTAAACATATGATTTCCAAATCTTCCGCCACACTAGAATGTTTATAATGTCCACAACTGAAACAATAACTGAAATTGCACAACATTTTATTATCTTAACCCATTCACCCCGAAAGTCACATTTAATCCTTACCAAATGAAAGACTGGGCAAGTCTAGTTTAAACATTTAGGGGTGAATGAGTTAAATGCCCCTCTAGATCTTTAGGCCAAATATTTTGAGCACCCTGGGTCCTAATTATGGGAAATATGGTATATTATTCATAAACTGCATGCATATGATACACCCGATACATGCAAGAAATTAAATAAGTCTTTGACATGAAAAATACTTTTGCAGTCATATTTGAATGCATTTATATATCAGTTCTGCATGTTTGCACTTTAACACTACAGAGAGTGTTAATTACCAGAATCTCTCCCACATTCTTGACATTTGGTGCAGATTACATCACTAACAGTTTTCATCAGGATGTGCTACACAGACATGCACTTGCTGTAACAGTTTCTGTCAGAACACGACAATCATGACAATCCTATAATTAAGAAAGAAAATCAATCACAGCTACATCAGTGTGGGTTTTATAATTTATGCAGTAAACATGTGGCCCAGTTTTGCCCAACTTATAATGGGCTTGAGTTTCTCTGTTTCCCCCTTTAGATTCTGAAACTCTTGTCATTAATCACGAATTCCAACCCTGCATACTTTTGAGTATATCCAGATGATCTATCATGAGGTGTAAATGAACCCATCCTCCGATGTGTAAATTAAACAGACAGCCTTGCATGGCTGTACACCTGGCACTTCATATAATAAATTACATCTGCACAAGCTTAAGTAGCAACACAGCATCACTACACAAACAGTGTACCGATTTCTGTGATCCTGGCACAGGTACTAGCCTCGTCTGTCAATTACACCTGTGAGATTATATTATAGGTGTAATTGACCGGCGAGGCTAGCTAGTACCTGTGATCCTGGTGTGGTTCAATCTTAGCTGATCACATGACCTGGATGTGCATATATGCAAGCTGCGAACTAATAATGGACTATTCCAACCTTTGAATTGGAAGAGTTCAAATGTGTCTTCAGGGGTGAAACAGTTAAGAACCTGATGATCTTCATGGTCACTATTTCATGGCCATGGTACTCTTTTACCAACATTACATGTCAAAAATTCTCATACAATACCAATCAAAGTAATTCATAGGCATGGTTGCTTTTATGTACATGATATACTGAAGAAATAAAACCTTTCACATTTCACAACCTTGGCCTGGAGATCTGTGACCTTGCTTTAGTTTGTAAATGTGGGAGTGCACATAGGGTATTTATTGTCTTACCGACACATTTCTATTGTTCATGGTAATCAATGTTAACAGTCATGTCCCCTTAACTTCCGTTTGGATATAACTGTGCCACATGTTGATCAGCAGCTAACTCATGCAGTCAGTTAGCTATATAGAGAGATAGTACAACAACCTGAAGTCCAGGGTTCGAATCACAGTCTAGCCGAAACGATCTTTTTAAAATTTACACTCAAAACAATGCTGTTGATTATAGATTTTTATTTCATCTTTATTATTTCTCATAAAAGTCCTGCAAGGTAAAACTTGTTTTATCAAATTAAAGCTTAAGTCATTCCAGAAAAAAACACTTTCCAACACTTAAGTTGCATTTTTTGGCAGTGGTACGGGGATGTGTCGCAGTTGTCTTGTAGAATTATAAGCTTTGACTAGAGAAAATATACCTTTAGATCAGTGGTAGAGCATCTGACTAAGAAAGACTGGGGTAGCTAGTTGGATTCCAGCAGAGCCCCATATCTTTTACGTAGATTTTTATGCTTAGCCCGAGTTTCCTCTGGCCCTGACACCAGACTTAGACATTTTGACAGATAGAGGTATAGTGTGGGCCATACAGACATCTATATGTCAAAATGTTGAAGCTTAAGTCTGGTGACGTCGGGGCCAGAGGAAACTCGGGCTACATCTTCTCTACTCAGTCCTTTTCTAAACTGGCCAGGATATTTAGTTTTACTTAACCCGTTCACCCCTATGTAACATTAGTAAACTCTACCATGCAGTTATCTGGATGAGTTCATTATGGTCAACAGTGGTGTAAGGGTTGTTAAAAATATGTAACCAGAGTCAGATTTCCTAGCAATTATTACGATTGCTTCTGCTTCGTCCTGGACTAAGGATGGAGATACTGATCGTATTATTACAAGTGTATAGTGTTCTACGTATACGTACTGGTTGAATTAAAGGAAAAGTCCGTCCTAGCCGAGTAAGTAATAAGTGATCTGGCTCAACACTAGTGTGACATTTATTGTTATATATAAATATAAAACTGTCAACAAATAACACATGGAGTTTTTTTGTGATAACTGTCAATAGTTATGACGCCAAAGAGCTTAGGGCTCAATGTAGCTGTAGACTACGAGGAGATTGGATGCTTAGTGAAGTAACAGCTCTTATATCCAGATAGCTAGGCATTTATCATCAATTCCCGGTATTGTGAAATATGTCAAAATATTGTTAAGAACAAATTTGAAAGTCATATATATATGCCACTGCAGCCCATGTCAGGATGTGTGAGTGGGTATATGTATGTGTGTACAAGTGTATGTACTGGTGTCTAGAAAAGGAGTAAAATACTCATATGACTGTCATCTTTCCTTAACATTAATCCCACCATTCATTGCTATTATACTACATACCCAGCAGTATTTAAACTTAAGGAAAGTGATATGATTGATTATACATATGTTACACTTTGTGGTAATTCTATGATAAGATTTTGATAAACTTGTACTTTCTTGATTACATGGGTGGTATACTATACAATTTGTATAGACTGATCATTTCTTGTTTGGATATGTGGGATATATGATTAGCTTTTGATAGATTGATAATTTCCTGATTGCATGTTTTGTATATATATGATTAGATGTTGATAGACTTATAATTTCTGTATTATTTGTTTGGTATATATGATAAGATTTTAATAAACTTATAATTTCTGGATTACATTAAGGTATATATGATTAGATTTTGATAAACTTATAATTTCCTGATTGCATGTTTTGTATATATATGATTAGATTTTGATAAACTTATAATTTCTGGATTGCATTTGGGTATATATGATTAAATTTTGATAAACTTATAATTTCTGGATTGCATTTGGGTATGTATGATTAGATTTTGATAGATGTATAATTTCTGGATTGCATTTGGTTATATATGATTAGATTTTGATAGACATATAATTTCTGGATTGCATTTGGGTATATATATATGATTAGATTTTGATAGACCTATAATATCTGGATTGCATTAAATATTTGGGTATATATGATTAGATTTTGATAGACGTATATTTTCTGGATTGCATTTGGGTATATATGATTAGATTTTGATAAACTTATAATATCTGGATTGCATTTGGGTATATATGATAAGATTTTGACAGACTTATTATATCTGGATTGCATTTGGGTATATATGATTAGATTTTGATAAACTTGTAATTTCTGGATTGCATTTGGGTATATATGATTAGATTTTGATAGACTTATAATATCTGGATTGCATTTGGGTATATATGATTAGATTTTGATAAACTTATAATTTCTGGATTCCATTTGGGTATATATGATTGGATTTTGATAGATGTATATTTTCTGGATTGCATTTGGGTATATATGACTAGATTTTGATAAACTTATAATATCTGGATTGCATTTGGGTATATATGATTAGATTTTGATAAACTTATAATTTCTGGATTGCATTTGGGTATATATGATTAGATTTTGATAGACCTATAATATCTGGATTGCATTTGGATATATATGATTAGATTTTGATAGACTTATAATTTCTGGATCGATTTGGATATATATGATTAGATTTTGATAGACTTATAATTTCTAGATTGCATTTGGGTATATATGATTATATTTTGATAGGCTTATAATTTCTGGATTGCATTTGAGTATATATGATTAGATTTTGATAGACCTATAATATCTGGATTGCATTTGGGTATATATGATTATATTTTGATAGACTTGTAACATCTTGATTGCACCATGTGTGGTACATATATATGATAAGATTTTGGTTTATACTTTAAATTTCTGCATTACATGATGTGTATAGGTGTGGGTAGGTAATTATGCACAAATGACATATTCATGTTCTTAATATCACAGTATATATATCTGGTCATTTTATAACTACAAGATTTAGTGTCTTTTAAATCTTATGTTACAAATACAAAAATTACCATGGTTATTTTCGCAACATGCCCAGACTATAGGGCCCAACACAGAATCTTCACTCACTTGTGATCACCCACTCACACAATAGGAATTTCAACTGATTATGAACCTGCAATAGAAGTGTGTGGGCTTATCACTAAGCCTGGGCTTATTGCCAGGTGAATACAGTTCAGGTTTGCTACATCATATACCAATATCTGAAAGTAGTCATTTTTCTGGAAGCATGCATATGTTATTTATGACTGGCCCTTTTATTTGTGTCTGCAAAAACATTGCACTTTCTTTTTACACAAACTTATTTCACTAGTTCACGAAGAAAATAGATACCTACATTTTAACCCTAGTGATGCTATACCCCCATTTTGGCGTTCCACCCGCAGTCGAGTGCTATACCTGCCTTTTGTCGTTCCACGGAAGATATGGGAATCCCAGCTGTATTTTGTTAAAAAAGCCTGATAACAAATACTTCAGAAGTTAAAAATTTGCACAATCCAAATGTGCATGCATGCATGATTACAGCACCTGCAATAATTAAGCACTTCAAAGGATGTTCAATGAAATTTTATTTTGAAGGAAATACATTTCTTCAAAACATAGGAACATTTACTACGACAAGGTCATTACACCACTAACATCCACTGTTGATCTTTTTTCTCTTCAGTTTGTGAAAGGACAACCTATGGGAAGTTAAGGATTGAGAGCTTGGGGCCAAAGGTCAAAACAGCAGAGTTCATCGAGGTCACCATCAGAGGAGGTTTACTTTGACAGGGTCGGACACCGGATACTTTGATCAGCACTGCCAGCCCCACCAGCAATTGTAGGTGGACCGCCATCTGTCAGACTATTCATACACATTTCAATTAATTCAAAATTAAATGCCACACACCCATTTGTGCAGGTCGTTTTAAAAATGTAATTTGAGGATTTAGATTTTAATTTTCTCGGTACATTTGACATAATACACTGTGAGAGTGGTTTTGTAAAGGATTTTTTTTTAATTTTGATTAGTTTTTTGTTCAAACTGTAAATTGATAAGCACTACATGAATTGGAAATAATCAGGGTTCCCTCCCCTCCCCCACACGCTATACCATCATTGTTTGATATGCTTACGGTCCAGCTTGGTAGATATATACATCTTTCTAAACAACACCAGAGCAGCTTGAAGGATTGCCAAGTGTATTGAGGGACAGCTATTCTGTGTTGAAATCTGGTATTAGCCACATACACCAGACGGACAGCCATTATGATGAATCCCAGGTACCCCCGTAAAAGGAAGCACAATGACCTGTGTGGCAAGAATTTCCTCAGATTTGTCATCTATGTCTTCACCTTCCTATTTCTGGTGAGTATCATTTTACAAGTTTCCGTCATATACTTTGAAGTTGAACAGGTCTCAATGGTTAGTTGTACAGTGTGTCTAGTGCTTCGACGATGCTTTTATAAAAGCCCTATAGCCTCGAGTCATGAAACAATTTTTAAGATTATAATTTTCATCTGTGAATAAAATGAAGAGTTCTGTTACAAATGTGACCATTTTAAGTAAAATAATACATGCTAATGACATATTGTTTTCCACATAAATGTCTGTACTAATAAAAGTTGAGACATAGCACACTAAAAAAGTTCTCAAATTTTGACATCATGTTTCAGTTGTATCCTAGTTTCAGGGCTTAACCGTAAGGGTCTTGTTTAACTCAACAAACTGTCATGAAAATGAAAACACAATTTAAACTTATTTAAGATAAAATAATGCATCCAGTACCATTAAGGTTCACCCGTTATCAGTATAATGTGACTGTGTGGAATGCTATGCTTAGAGCCTTCAGCATTGTATTTCAGTGAGCTAGCACTATTAAGTCAGCATCAGATCCGCGCTGTCACAAAGAGGCAAATACATCAACATACCTTGTCTCCACCACACTTACACACATGCAGGCATACACGATATACCTGGAGGCACATCCTTAAATGACCTTAGCTGTTGATAGGGTTTTAAACCCTAAACAACCAACCAACAAGTAACCCTTAAGTTGTGACCTTGACCTCTACACACTTCTAGATGTGAGCTGTCAGCATGTTTGAAACTTCCTTATTTCCGTATTTTACCGTCAATAAGCCCCCTCCCCACTTTTGTAAATGTCCTGGGAACAGGGTGGGTGCCTTCCATTAAGCCCCCCCCCCCTCCCTTAAAACTGTCAGAATGTCACTTGAACAAAAAAATTAAAAATCCATTTCATACAGCTCACATGTTTATTCACATCCTACCGGTATATTTATGTACCCGATTCCATCAAGTTTTCACCTTGACCTTTTCACTCCAGCTGTCGGGAGTGGCGTTCCTGGCCACGGGACTGTACATTAAGCTGGAGAAGTTTACCTATGTTAATTTGCTGGGCAGCAGTACGTTTCCCATAGCCACCTTCCTCCTCATTGCCACTGGAGCGTTCATCCTGTTGTCTGGAATCCTGGGATGTACCGGAGCTTGTGTGGAAAACAGGTGTTGCCTTGTCATGGTGGGTATAAACTCTTTGTGTACATATATATATATATAGATGTAAAAAACAAATGACAAGAGATTCTTAGTACCTCCCTAGTACTTTAACCTCATTAGAGGTTTATCAGGGGACCTGTGATATATATAAATATATCGCTTTTTTTGGATTCAAACTGTTATGAATTTTTGCTTTTGGAAGTATAAGAGTTATAATGAATTTCATTATATTCTCATTTATTCAAGCAATTCATATATAATAATTTAAACTTTTAGCAAGTATACAGCATCGTATCGTCTTTGGAAAATGTCAAATTTTAAAAATTAAACTTTTAAATTAAAATCTTACATATCACTTAGTTGTAAGTAAAAAATTTAATTAAAACCTAAAACATCCTAAAGTTTTTCTAAAAAAAATGTACTTACTGGTATTAAAGAAGCAGTTTAATTTTTTCACCTGGCCTATTATTCCTATTCTTGATATACATGGTTACATGGTTATTAACACAATATCTGTTGCAGTATGCTGTGTTCCTGCTGTTAATATTCCTGATAGAAGCCATCTCTGGAGTTCTGGCCTACATGTATGACGGGACAGTGAGTAACAATCACACATATTATCAATAAGCAGGTTACTTGTTTTTTTTACGCCGCGACTAATTAGCGGAAGCGAGACTAAGGTGTTGCTTTTCCGGCGAAGGTGTCAACATTACGTTTTTTGCATTTATTTAAATTAAGTTAGTTTCACTGAAAGAAATAGTGAGTGACCAACCAAACTTGGACCATAGATGCATCTTAGGTAGTACATCTCAACCCATGCATCAAATGCTGGATGCAGTCTACCGTTCATGGTCCATTGACTTTGTCAGCATCTCCATCAACATTATGTTTTTGTGTTTAAGTTAATTTCTCTGAAATTATAAGTGCTACACCAACCAAAGTTGGACCATACGTGCATCTTAGGTAGTACATCTCAACCTATGCATCAAATACTGGATGTGACCTACCTTTCATGGTCCATTGACTATGTTATTTCACCGATATGTGCATTGATGGTCAAAACAGGGCACAAGTAATAATAATATACAGCATTTGATATAGCGCCCTATCTAGCTAACATAAGCCACTCTAAAGCACTTTACAGTACATAGGTATACAATTAATTCAATTAGCATATACATTAATCAATACAATTTTTGAGGAATTTGCAGGAGCTGCCTTATCGGGCGCTAACTACTAGTCCTATGCCACCTGGCTAATATCTCCCTATGTGTGTATGCCTGCATGTGTGCTGGAGATGTAATGTGTTCTGTTTTTAGTGGGACCATGCTTCCAACGGCCTCATTTATAGTGCCACCTCACTTGAATGCTACAGCACAGATACCGCAACATCCACCCCAGACCAATTTATACTCTACCTGGGTTGTTGGAGTTGTGTGGGCAGGAGAAAAACACTTTCTCTGAATATCCTTGCATGCGACGACTTCGGGGATCATCCCCGGCCGCCTTGTGGAAGGCCAGAGTGTTAACCACTCGACCAATCCGCCCACTTGATATGTGGGATTGATATGGGTGAGACATATCAATCTGAATGGCTTGTTTGTTCATGTTTTTTCTTTAGTAAAGTACACAGTACATGTTCACATATTACAGACTTTACAGTCTACCTAAAACCTTATCAGAAAATAGTAATCCTTGAAGAAATGTGGCTAAAATATTTACACAGTGATTTTTCTTTACTGCGAATATGTTCATGTAAACAATAATGTATGTTCAAAATACTACACATGCATATATTTACTGTACCACTTAGCATCTTTTTTAAACCTGAAAAAGACTATTTGACCACTTACACCTGATTTATTCTGATCTTATCTATACTGAATTCAGAATTCCCTGTCATTACTTCTCTGTTTGTGTACACTGTACTTTGGGGACTGCGCTGGCCAGGTGGTTAAGGCATCTGACATTCTGCTACCATTAGCCCTCCACCACTTGCGCGCGGGTTCGAGGCGTACGTGGGGCAGTCGCCAGGTACTGGCCGTAGGTCGATGGTTTTTCTCCAGAAACTCTGGCTTTCCTCCACCACCAAAACCTGGCATGTCCTTAAATGACCATAGCTGCTAATAGGACGTAAAACACAAACAAACCAAACCAAAAGCGTATGTACTAGATTCAGAATGGATACTTATTCTGTATACTGAAAAGTTTACGAAATTTTAACTTTCATTTTTGCTCTCCTTGATGAGATTTTAATTTTATAGCAATGGTAATACAAAGCATAAAAGATATTATAGTAAGAATAGGTTAACCCTTTCACCCCTAGGTAACTTTAGTAGACTCGGCCATTCATTGATCTGGATGAGTCCATTATGGTCTACAGTGGTGAAAGTGTTAAGGGTAAACTTAACACTAGGCGAATACAGACTTTATAGTGAAGGGTGAATATTTGACAGTGCTATTAAAAGTTTACTGGTATACAGAATACGATTATTTATATTGATTATATTTGTGTTTAGATTCGTGAGGAGCTGACTAGGAACCTCAACAAAAGTATGATGGAAAAGTATAGCTTTGATCCTGTCTTCACCAAGTCTGTCGACGACATGCAGATTGAGGTATATATTAATATATAAAGCCATGTTCTCACCTTAGCTAATATGTCTTCCTCATTCTTTGATGGTTTATTCCATCTTTGACCTTATCATTGTCCTTTGCAACCATACATAAATGTATGATAAATGAGAATAATAGAATCTCTCGCCCCCTTGGGGTTGAGATTCCCCTATCTCACCCTCAAGGGGGTGAATGATTCTTTTTCTCGTACTCTTTTTCCCGTGTGAGATATTCTTGTCTTACCCTAGGGTTGAGACGGGGATAATCCTACTCGTAACGATTATATGACGTCACATCAATAATACAAAGATGTCACGTCAACAATGCATCACCGTCACGTCGACCCTGAATTTATCCTGTAATGTTAACATGACATTATGTATATGATACACAATGGGTGAACAGGGTAGGAGAAAAAGAATCATTCACCGTCTTGAGGTGCGATCAGGAATCTCAACCCTTCGGGGAAAGATTCTTAATTTTCCAAACAATCGGCTAAGCCTCAAACTCAAAAATCTTTCCCCCGGGTTGAGATTCCCATTTATCACCTCGAAAGGGGAGAGAGATTCTATCACTCCAACACATTCCTTTCTTTAAAATAACATGTACTGGTGAGCCCATGGTACTGCTACATCATCATGAGTGCATGAAATGTGTGACCAACCTAACGCTTTCACCACCGTAGACCTTAATGGACTCATCCCCATAAATGCATGGTACAGTCTACTAAAGTTACCAAGGGGTGAAAGGGTTAATGATGCGATCCTGGTAATGCTGCAAAATGTGAAGTCGTGATAGTTGTGTTTTAAGAACAATAATACTTGTAAGCTCATAGCTGCATGTGTTTCCCTATGACGGTTAAGTCAGATGTTTTTTCCCCCTAGCAAAAATGGAAATGCACTGATAAAGTGTGGGAGAGATAAAGACAGTTGTATCATTTAAGCTTTATAGCAGCAGAAGTAGACGTTTAAAGTTAATCATTATGCATTTAAATCAAGCAAACTTCAGATTTATCAATAGTACATTTTGCCCAAATGACAAAATATACATACAGTTATTGAATGCGAAGGGCGAATTCAATATTGGGCGAAAACTGATTTTACCATCGAAGGGCAAATATTTCCCGATATACAGTATACTGTTTACCATTATATGTAACCATCACATGATTAATAAACTTTCGTTGTCAGTTTAAATGTTGTGGAGCAGCAACATTCGAGGACTGGAAGTATTCACGGTGGCTGAAGGCTGACAACGAGACACTCAACAACACGCCTGAAAGTTGCTGTAAAACTGTCGGTGTAAACTGCGCCATCAGTACTCATCCCTCAAACATCCAGTACGATGTACGTATAAAAGTGTGAACAGTGCCATCAGTACCCATCCCTCCAACATCCAGTACGATGTACGTATAATAATGTGATCAGTGTCATTAGTTCCCATCCCTCAAACATCCAGTACGATGTATGTATAATAGTGTGCACAGTACCATCAGTACCCATCCCTCAAACATCCAGTACAATGTACGTATAATAGTGTGAACAAACATCCAGTACAATGTACGTATAATAGTGTGAACAAACATCCAGTACAATGTACGTATAATAGTGTGAACAAACATCCAGTACAATGTACGTATAATAGTGTGAACAAACATCCAGTACAATGTACGTATAATAGTGTGAACAAACATCCAGTACAATGTACGTATAATAGTGTGAACAAACATCCAGTACAATGTACGTATAATAGTGTGAACAGTACCATCCGATGTACGTATAATAGTGTGAACAGTGCCATCAGTACCCATCACTCAAACATCCAGTACAATGTATGTATAATAGTGTGAACAGTGCCATCAGTATCGATCCCTCAAACATCCAGTACAATGTACTTATAATAGTGTGAACAGTACCATCAGTACCCATCACTCAAACATCCAGTACAATGTATGTATAATAGTGTGAACAGTGCCATCAGTATCGATCCCTCAAACATCCAGTACAATGTACTTATAATAGTGTGAACAGTGCCATCAGTACACATCCCTCAAACATCCAGTGCGATGTACGTATAATAGTGTGAACAGTGCCATCAGTCCCCATCCCTCAAACATCCAGTACGATGTATGTATAATAGTGTGCACAGTACCATCAGTACCCATCCCTCAAACATCTAGTACGATGTACGTATAATAGTGTGAACAGTACCATCAGTGCCCATCCCTCAAACATCCAGTACGATGTACGTATAATAATGTGATCAGTGTCATTAGTTCCCATCCCTCAAACATCCAGTACGATGTATGTATAATAGTGTGAACAGTACCATCAGTTCCCATCCCTCAAACATCCAGTACGATGTACGTATCATTCGAGGACTGGAAGTATTCACGGTGGCTGAAGGCTGACAACGAGACACTCAACAACACGCCTGAAAGCTGCTTTAAAACTGTCGGTGTAAACTGCGCCATCAGTACTCATCCCTCAAACAGCCAGTACGATGTACGTATAATAATGTGAACAGTGCCATCAGTACCCATCCCTCAAACATCCAGTACAATGTACGTATAATAGTGTGAACAGTGCCATCAGTACTCATCCCTCCAACATCCAGTACGATGTACATATAACAGTGTGAACAGTGCCATCAGTACCCATCCCTCAAACATCCAGTACGATGTACGTATAATAGTGTGAACAGTGCCATCAGTACCCATCCCTCAAACATCCATTACAATGTACGTATAATAGTGTGAACAGTACCATCAGTACTCATCCCTCAAACATCCAGTACGATGTACGTATAATAATGTGAACAGTGCCATCAATACCCATCCCTCAAACATCCAGTATGATGTACGTATAATAGTGTGAACAGTGCCATTAGTACTCATGCCTCCAACATCCAGTACGATGTACGTATAATTATGTGAACAGTGTCATCAGAACACATCCCTCAAACATTCAGTACAATGTACGTATAATAGTGCGAACAGTACCATCAGTACCCATCCCTCAAACATCCATTACAATGTTCGTATAATAGTGTGAACAGTACCATCATTACCCATCCCTCAAACATCCAGTGTGATGTACGTATAATAGTGTGAACAGAGTCATCAGTACCCACCACTCAAACATCCCAACCCTCCAACATCCAGTACGATGTACGTATAATAGAGTGAACAGTACCATCAATACCCATCCCTCAAACATCCAGTACAATGTACTTATAATAGGGTGAACAGTGCCATCAGTACCCATCCATCAAACATCCATTACAATGTACGTATAATAGTGTGAACAGTTCCATCAGTACTCATGCCTCCAACATCCAGTACGATGTACGTATAATTATGTGAACAGTGTCATCAGTACACATCCCTCAAACATTCAGAACAATGTACGTATAATAGTGTGAACAGCGTATAATAGTGTGAACAGTACCATCAGTACCGATCCCTCAAACATCCAGCACAATGTACTTATAATAGTGTGAACAGTGCCATCAGTACCCATCCCTCAAACATCCAGTACGATGTACGTATAATTATGTGAACAGTGTCATCAGTACACATCCCTCAAACATTCAGTACAATGTACGTATAATAGTGTGAACAGTGCCATCAGTACCGATCCCTCAAACATCCAGTACAATGTACTTATAATAGTGTGAACAGTACCATCAGTACCCATCCCTCAAACATCCAGTATGACGATGTACGTATAATTATGTGAACAGTGTCATCAGAACACATCCCTCAAACATTCAGTACAATGTACGTATAATAGTGTGAACAGTGTCATCAGCACCCACCACTCAAACATCCAGTACGATGTATGTAAAATAGTGTGAACAGTGCCATCAGTACACATCCCTCAAACATCCACTACAATGTACGTATAATAGTGTGAACAGTACCATCAGTACCCATCCCTCAAACATCCAGTATGACGATGTACGTATAATTATGTGAACAGTGTCATCAGAACACATCCCTCAAACATTCAGTACAATGTACGTATAATAGTGCGAACAGTGCCATCAGTACCCATCCCTCAAACACCCAGTACAATGTACGTATAATAGTGTGAACAGTGTCATCAGCACCCACCACTCAAACATCCAGTACGATGTATGTATAATAAACATCCAGTACGATGTATGTATAATAGTGTGAACAGTACCATCAGTACCCATCCCTCAAACATCCAGTATGATGTATGTATAATAGTGTGAACAGTACCATCAGTACCCATCCCTCAAACATCCAGTACGATGTACATATAACAGTGTGAACAGTACCATCAGTACCCATCCATCAAACATCCAGTACGATGTACGTATAATTATGTGAACAGTGTCATCAGTAGACATCCCTCAAACATTCAGTACAATGTACGTATAATAGTGCGAACAGTGCCATCAGTACCCATCCCTCAAACACCCAGTACAATGTACGTATAATAGTGTGAACAGAGCCATCAGTACCCAACCCTCCAACATCCAGTATGATGTACGTATAATAGTGTGAACAGTGTCATCAGTACCCACCACTCAAACATCCAGTACGATGTACATATAATAGTGTGAACAGTGCCATCAGTACCCAACCCTCAAACATCCCGTATGATGTACGTATAATAGTGTGAACAGTGCCATCTGTACCCACCACTCAAACATCCAGTACGATGTATGTAAAATAGTGTGAACAGTGCCATCAGTACACATCCCTCACCCTCAAACATCCAGTACGATGTACGTATAATAGTGTGAACAGAGTCATCAGTACCCACCACTCAAACATCCAGTACGATGTACGTAAAATAGTGTGAACAGTGCCATCAGTACCCACCATTCAAACATCCAGTATGATGTATGTATAATAGTGTGAACAGTACCATCAGTACCCATCCCTCAAACATCCAGTATGATGTATGTATAATAGTGTGAACAGTACCATCAGTACCCATCCCTCAAACATCCAGTATGATGTATGTATAATAGTGTGAACAGTACCATCAGTACCCATCCCTCAAACATCCAGTATGACGATGTACGTATAATTATGTGAACAGTGTCATCAGTAGACATCCCTCAAACATTCAGTACAATGTACGTATAATAGTGTGAACAGTACCATCAGTACCCATCCCTCAAACATCCAGTACGATGTATGTATAATAGTGTGAACAGTACCATCAGTACCCATCCCTCAAACATCCAGTATGATGTATGTATAATAGTGTGAACAGTACCATCAGTACCCATCCCTCAAACATCCAGTACGATGTAAGTATAATAGTGCGAACAGTGCCATCAGTACCCATCCCTCAAACATCCGGTACAATGTACGTATAATAGTGTGAACAGTGTCATCAGCACCCACCACTCAAACATCCAGTACGATGTATGTAAAATAGTGTGAACAGTGCCATCAGTACACATCCCTCAAACATCCAGTACAATGTACGTATAATAGTGTGAACAGTGCCATCAGTACCCACCACTCAAACATCCAGTACGATGTACGTAAAATAGTGTGAACAGTGCCATCAGTACACATCCCTCAAACATCCAGTACAATGTACGTATAATAGTGTGAACAGTACCATCAGTACCCATCCCTCAAACATCCAGTACGATGGATGTATAATAGGGTGAACAGCGCCATCAGTACCCATCCCTCAAACATCCAGTACGATGTACGTATAATAATGTGAACAGTGTCATCAGTACCCAACCCTCCAACATCCAGTACGATGTATGTATAATAGTGTGAACAGCGCCATCAGTACCCATCCCTCAAACATCCAGTACGATGTATGTATAATAGTGTGAACAGTGCCATAACCTCCCACCAAGTTGTATGTATCCAACACAAAGCAGGCCGTTAATTTCAGCATATTTCATAAAACCCCATTACAGTTCTTCCTTTTTTTCGTAAAGTAGATGAATTATCTGTAGTAGGCAGGTATTTTTACCAGCAACAGCCTACATACTCCATATCATACATTTATATATGTTATTGAAGTAAGAATCACAATCGTACTAGTAAATATTTCATGAGCTGGATTAACCATATTACGAAAAAAGTTTTTGATATTGAAATAGGTTTTGACAAATTACTGCAATATTTTCTGGCACCAAGAACTATAACAACATATTCTGTATCAATATGTTTTTCAGAGCTGCAGTTTACGACTCGAACAGTACACAAAGTCCAATTTAGTGCTAATAGGAGGGATAGGCCTCGGGCTGTGTTGTATACAGGTAATTGTTATAATTGTTAATGTATGTGTTGTATTGAACCCAACTTGAGTAGAAATTGAAATATTTATGTGTTATATTCAGGTAATAACATTTTATATTAAAAGTTTTGGATGGAGCTGAAAGCCATATGACTGTTGTGGATCAGCCATTTAAAAATAAACCTAGGTATAAAAAAAATCATTTTTTTGAACAATTGTCTGTGAAAAGAATGCTGTTTTCTTTTCAGATATTTGGGATAATATTCTCGTGTTGTCTCGTGAGAAAAATCAAGGACGATATGATGAGACGCCATTTCTGACCCAAGTGACACTACAGGAAGTGACAGAATTTTAGGGGAGATAATTCTATCCCAGCATCAACATATCTTGTTGAGGGACTTGTAATGCCATTGCATATAAGACAATGCTATTTATACCACATGCAAAATATGCCATCAATGGAAGGGAGACTACTCTTGCAACAAACAATTTCTATTAAAATATGACTAGTAAATAAATGCAACTGTGGTTTAATGTGTGGGGAAGAAACAAGTTGTAGACCTAGCATCTAAGTAAACACAGAGTTCCAGATAAGTTCATGTGGATTTATACCAGAGTATCTGTAGTGACAAGATTATATACAGGGTAGTTTTCTAAGCAGAAGAGGTCCTAAAGGCAATGGAAACCCTTTTGATCCACTACTGGTAATTAGACCCCTGAACATTTATAGATCTGCTAATGCTTAGTATATATGTCAAAACTTATTAGCCTGCAATAACAACGATAAGTATTGAAAGATTATTTTGAGATTAGATCCAGTAGACCCTTTCATTATTTCATGTCAATATGAATAATAGCTCACTTTATATAAATAGAAAAGACCAAAAAATAAAAGTATTAATATAACTGGTGTTTCTGGTATCAAATTTTACATTATCTTTTTGCAATGCTTATGTCTGTTCTATATAACATATTAAATGATTATTAGAAAGTAAAAGATAAAAAAAAAAGTCTGAAATGCTATGAAATAACATGTTTTTTCCCCTTCCTTTAGAGACAAAAATGGAACATTACATATATTTTGGCATCCCAATACATTTACAGTTTTGAAAAAAATAATGACTGAAATTATCTCCTTTTTCATATGTGTTTACTAGGCCTTTAGTCAAGGAACGAACAGTAATGTTAATTTTCAGACACAGAAATAAAGAAAGGGTTGATGGATATGATTTGGCCAGTAGATAATATTTTTATGATTTTTAATCCATTCACCCCTAAAGTCACAATTGAACCTTACCAAATCAAAGACTGGACAAGTCCAGTTTAGATATGTAGGGGTGAATGAGTTGAACCCATTGTTTTATTTTTGTAAAAGATGTATTGCCATACAACATTTTTGTGTACTATAAATGTTATTTATGCTTTATATGGAAAAGGTGAAATTTTTATGCTAGACATTCTGAATTCTCTTATTGAGGATATAGCCTGGAATGAGATCATGGATACTGTGAAGCCTCCATAATTTTCTGTCTTCCTTTCCAAAAAAAGTGGTTGGATGTGAAGCCTCCATACTTCTCCATCTTCCTTTCCAATAAGAGTGGTTGGATGGCGCAATAACTGGATTGATATGATCTTAATATGACGCTGTTATAAATGTGCAATTTCATAATAAATTCAGATTTGATATCAATGTTTACCCTCAGACCAATAATACAATTTGTGTGTTTCAGATATCCTGATTTAACCTAGATATTTTTGCAGACCTTAGTAATTTTATCACCTGCTTGCATCTAACTTTAACTTACCAAGGTTTAGGGTAGAGCCAATGCTGTGGTTTCTTCAATAGTGGAATAATCTGGTCCTCTGCCCTTCGTCTGGATACCCGAAAGTATGCAGGGCGATTAAGTAAAATGGCTTACATAGTCATAGATTCAATCACAACAGGCGCATGTAGTTTATTATGAGTGTTAAGTGGTTTCACCCTTATAGTGGGCTTCTTCCGGACCTTTAGCGTAACTTTAATTTAAAAGCCAACAGCTACACATTAAAATGTACTTTCTTCCTATTCCGTCTTTGCGTATTGCAGACTTATCTTCTCTTGAGAGCAGGGATTGATTGTTACGTCATTGGTTCGTGTGAGAAAATTACGTCGTTTTCTCAAAAATTGATGACGTTACTCTCACAAACAAATGACGTAACAATCAATACCAGCTCTCAAGAGAAGATAACTCTGCAATACGCAAAGACGGAATACTGGGAGTCTGACCCTATTCTTGACAAATGAATTGCAATTGTAATGTGTGAAAATGCGTTGTAAAAATTGATGCATGTATAATGCATAATATTGATCCATGAAAATTTAGAATAAAAACTATTTGCCTACTGACCTACCCTATTATTTTTGGAAGTGTTACCTGAAACACACATATTGTTTTTTCTTAGAAATAGCTAGATATCAGGATCAAGTTGTTCAGAGCTTGATATCAGCTCAACAAGATCAGCATACTTTTTTTTTTTTAAATATCAATTTTGATAAATATCTGAAAATGAACAAATATAGTTTGTCTTCAGACGATCATTCTTTATCCCTCTACACGTCCTTATATTTATGAGTTTCGATAACTTTGTAAATGTACTGAATTGAAATTTTGTTTAAACTTGTCGCAAGCTAAATCAGATTTTGAACATTTTGTATTTGATACTGTATTAGGAATCTACTGCTTTGGTGTATTTCATAAATTTTTCGTGGTTTTATTGTTATGATTATTGATGTTTTGTGCAAAGGGTCTTAAAAAAAGTCAGTGTTTCAGCTTTATTGTTTTCAATGACTTTCATCATCAACCATGACATTTGATTATACATTCCATATATTGAATAGCATACATTAACTATTCGTAGTTTTTTTTATGAGATAAATGTACATATTGCAATTATCAGTTAATTAATTTGTATAAGATTACCACAATATTTTAGAATGATCTATATTTTAATTTATCACAATATTAACCATTCGATGACTAATTGTGAAGTTGTAGCAATTGTTTTGGGAAGCAATTTAACTCATTCACCCCTGAAGACACATTTGAACCCTTCCAGTTCAAAGGTTGGAATAGTTCATTATGAATCTTCAGGGGTCAATGAGTTAATATAACAGTATGGCTGATCACTGCCAATATCTGGGTCAGAAACATTGAAAAGATTGTGAAATCTGGAGTGATCTGATCTTCCACACTTAGAGGCTAGTGTTATATACCCTGTAAAAGTGATGTTATTAACACATTGGCATCATGGAGTTTGTAGTCCTGGGCTCCGTTTGCGTATTCTGTCCAACCAGTTGAAACAGTTAAACCTGAAAGAAAACGACAGGCATAGATCTGAACCGAGGCTGACCTCAGAAAATTCGGAATGTGTAGATTGTGGGGTCCAAATGTGCCGGACCGAAACTATAATGTTGACTATTGCTAGTTTTAGTTATTTCTTTATTTCTTAAACAAGTCAATCCTGATGTAGATTTTAAGATATAAGTAATATAATTTGGTGGATGCATGAAAGAAGGACATATTATCCTTAAAATATTATTATTTATTCTCCAAAACTGTGCATTTTTTAGCTCTGCCTATAGTTTGGTCCAAGTGCGCTTGTTTATGCGAATGCAACCCTGGCTTTCCACATAGAATGTAGGCCATTATACGAGATAAAAGTAAAGAATTTTTCAGAGGTGTTATTTTATTCTGCAATTCCGTTCCCATTTACCCCGGGTAGAGGAAAGGTCAGTTAATTAACTTGCACAGTCTTTACTGGAAATAATGTCATTATCACTGCAGGGATTTATGTTGACATGCAATCATAACAGAACTAAAAACTCTGTAGTTTAAATAGTAGAGCATCCGTCTAGAGTTTGGAGGATCCCGGGTTCTCGAGTGCCGGTCTGGCAGTTGCATTTCTCCTTCTCCTGTCACAAGAGATTTGAAGAGTGTACACTGTGTAAGATGTTCTTTAAAGCGCTTTGTATTCGACTGAACAGTAATTGTAATTGCATCCCCACCCCAGTCGCCACTTGGCCCCTAGAATGGTTAGATAATAACCTTTTTCATGCACATCGTTTACAGTCCAGCTAGGCACCTGGGCCAGTATTTATGAAACCATTCTCATGCTCAATCTTGGATGTTATGCTCCAGCCTAATTTCTTGTTCCGGTTATAAATTACCCGGTAATAAAAGAATATTTTGTCGATGGTTTGGAAGCAAATTGAACAGACTTAAGGCAGAATACTGTTTTCAATGTTAACATTTGACTTTTTGATCGTTTTACATGATTTGTGAACGGTTTCATGAATACGGACCCTGGTTGCAATAGTCTACAAACGCAAGATCATGAAAGAAAGTATACACATATGTTTCAGGATATACACCACCTATTAAATCTAGAGCTTACGTCTTGGATAGAGGACATTTTTACAATTTTGTATTGATTTATAAACTAGTCTAGTCAATGAATGTAGAATTCATCTGTTGTTTAGTGTGATATTTAATCCCCAATAGGTCCTCGTTTGGTATAAAGGATTTAATTGTACACGTAGAACAGTTTTACAATTAACTGTGTTGAAAAAGTGTTGAAAAAGTTATGTTTTAGTAAAAGTACCTTATGTAAGTGGTGTTTAACTCATTCACCCCTGAAGACATGTTTGAACTCTTCCAATTCAAAAGTTGGAATAGTTCATTATGAAATTTCAGGGGTGAATGAGTTAAACAGCTCTTTGTGAATTGTGTTTATGATGTTGAGCAGCTTTACATTGTATATGTCTATTAAGTTGAACAGTTTTAGGTTGAACAACATGACATTAATTCAGTTCTTGTTGTGTTTGTGAACAATTTATTAAATTATCTGTGTATATGTTGAACAGTTTTTCATTACCTCTGTACAATGTGTTGAACATTTTTTCATCAGCTGTGTAGATTTTGTGTTCTTGAACAGTTTTAAATGAGTCATTTCCATTGTATTGAACAGTTATAAGCTGTATTGAAATATTTTTAACTGTAAACATTATATTGAACAGTTCTTATCTAGATGCATACATTGTATTGAACAGTTCTGTTTTATATGATTATATCAGCTGTGTTGAACAATTGTTTTAGATGCATACACAGTTTTAAAAAGTTCTAAGTTGTATTGAACAGTTCAGAGTTGTGTTGAACTGTTCTAGGTTGTGTTGAACAGTTCAAATTTGTGTTGAACTGTTCATTATCAGCAGAGTTGTGTTGAACCGTTCTAGGTTGTGCTGAACAGTTCTTAGTGTGTTGAACTGTTCAAATTTGTGTTCAACAGTTCATTATCAGCGGAGTTGTGTCCATAATGTTTGTCAGATATATAAGTTTAGAATTTGTTGGTCCTGTGTTCCAGTTTTCAGACAATCACAGTATAATAATATTCAACCTTTGAAGCTGATACAGTGTCATGGTTTCTTTTGTATGGGACAATTCCTCTTGAATAAATCATTTTTGTTTAAAATTGGAAAACAACAGCAATGCATTTTACAAATTTATATATATATCAGACCTCTTCTGCCAGTAACAATCTTCCCTGAAATGAATTGTTGAGAAATCTGAATTGCCATAACTGTGTTGTGTTTAAATTAAATATGTATAAATATGTATAATCTTTATTTATTTTATGACAATTATGAAACAAGTTATATCAACTTACATTAATTACTCTTGGATGTAATTAGCACACAGGGGATCTTAATGTGGGAGGAAACTGGAGTACCCGGAGAAAACCTATGTCGTCTAAATTAATGGGAAGGTATCGGTACCTAAATTAACAGGACTGTTTTCCCATCTTATTAATGGGACTGCATCATCGTGAGAATATAATGGGATTGAATCAGCGTCAAATTAATGACAGGTTGCACAGTCTCAAATTTGATTGTATAAATCTGTAGTTCATAACTGTAGTAAAAATGTATTCTATCTTTTAACCTGTAATCAGTATTTACAGGTATTACAGTTCTTGAAAGTTCCATCCTTACAGTTCTTGAAAGTTCCATCCTACCCTTTTTATCACTTAAAACTTTTAGCCCAGAGGGGAACCCCCCCCCCCCATCCAAGCTTTAGTGACAGATATGGAGGATTCTTTGAAAACCAGCCTGAGGCTGAGAGGGTTCACATTGCCTTTATGCTCGACATGCTCACACATCCACAACATTCATGAGTAAAAAATATGCAAATAAGGCCGTATAAAAGTGACGTAAGTGAGCGCCGCCATCATCAATGTCAACCCCAGTAAGC